AAGAAGAGGAAGAAGAAGAAGAGGAAGAGGAAGAAGAAGAGGAAGAAGAAGAAGAAGAAGAGGAGGAAGAGGAAGAAGAAGAGGAGGAGGAGGAGGAAGAGATTGGATTTATACCCCGCCCTTCACTACCCGGAGGAGTCTCAGAGCAGATCACAATCTCCTTTCCCTTCCCCTCCCCACAACAGATACCCTGTGAGTTCGGCGGGGCTGAGAGAGCTCTTGACAGAAACTGCTCTTTTTTCAAGAACAGCTCTTATCAGAACTAGGGCTTGCCCAAGGTCATCCAGCCAGGTGCAAGTGCAGGAGTGGGGAATCAAACCCGGTTCTCCCAGATTAGAGTCCGTGCACTTAACCACTACACCAAACTGGCTCTCAGTAGGACACAGAGACCGAAACTTCCTGTACTGCTGCAGCCCTAGGGCAGATTGGCTATAAAGGCCGCCAGGGAAAGTCCTGGGGGGGCGTCCCCCTGCCAGGAGCTAACCCAAGGGGGACATGAACCACTCCCTCCTGCATCATGCAGGCAGTTGTGAGCCAGGCGCTGTAGCGAGTTTGCTCCTTCCCTTCCCCATTCCCTTGGGGCGGGGCAGGCCCTCCTTCCCTCCCCCCACCCCCATTGGGGGCAGATCAGGAAGCAGGGCCCTTTCCCAGGCCTGTCTCTTGCCTCCGAGTCCGCTCCCTGCCTCGGCATCCATTGCTCCTTTGCAGACTGTATAGATCCCTTTCACAACCGCTGGAGACCTGCCCTCGTCCAGTGTTCCGACCCTCCTGCCCTGCCTCCGCGGATCCTCGGGGAGAGCGGGAAGCTGGGAGCTGCATCCGCTTCTCTGCGCTGCCGGCAGACGTGCTCTGCGTTCCTAGCTCCCGAACCCGGCTCTTACCCGGCCTCCGCCTTTACCTGTGCTGTTGGGCAGGATCCAGGTGTTGCAGTTCAGCTGGTAGAAGAAGAGGTGGTTGGTGAAGTTCTCGCGCTCCGTCCGGCCCCCGATCACCACCATGGTGTCCTTCAAGACCGTGGCCACGTGGAAGAAGTGAGCCAGCGGCTGGGGTCGGGGAGAGGCAGGTGGGGGGAGAGAGAGAGAGACAGAGACAGAGAGAGACAGCAAGAGAGCGGGTCATGGCAGGATACAGCTAGCCGAGGTCACTGTGCCCCCCCCCGAAACATCACCTCTTGCCCGGGGCCCCCTTTGCCAGCCAAGTGGATGCTCAACTTGTTCCCCCACCCTGGGATCTTGTCGACATCTGGAACCGTCCAGTCTCGAAGATTTGTAGTAATAGCAGCAAAGCCCTTTCAACCGAGTAGCAATACCTTTCTGCAGGGGTCATTTCGTAGGAAAAGAGGTGCAGGAGCTCATTCGCATAACTCATTAGCATAACTCGTTTGCATATGCCACGCCCCGACATCACCGGAAGCGTGTCAGAAGGCAACACTCGCCGCTCAGGCTCCACTGGACTGTTTTGGATGGCTAGCTATTGGGGGGGGGGGG